TGGCCAATCCAGACTTTGATGAGAGTACATTTAAGCGTCAAGCAACTGATTCTGCGCCAACAACTACAAAGAAGTCCAAGCTGGATCAAGAATCTGACCTTCCAGTTTGTCAACATGGACAGAAATGTTATCGCAAGGTAAATTGTTTGTTTGTTTGTTTGATTGATTGATTGAAATGATCCACCCACTGACACCGACATCTCCAACATCTGAAGAATGCCGAACACTTTAAGGAGTTCTCACATCCATGGTTAAAGCTGTCTGCCACTGGTGGCAAGAGTGATGCTGCTCCTGAGCTAAACACATGGTCACCAAAGACAGCATATCATAAGAAGAAGCCTAGTGAGACAAAGAATGCTGGAAGGTCATTGATACTGCCACTCATATCAACATTGGTACATCAGTTCAATCCAGAGAAGGCGATCGACATTGCATTCAAGGAGCTCGCCACCTATCTTTCATTCCACGCAGGCGAGGACGACATCAGATTGGTTCTGTTCGTGGACAAGTCACTGGTCAATGACAAGGTGAACAAAGTGTTACAGAAGCGATTGTCAGAGATAGAGGACGATTCGAGATTGAAGGTCTACGTCCAGGACACCGTCAACTCGCTGGACTACCTGAACGACATTGGTAGCGGTGCGCCATGTAGGTTCATGGCAGTGGAGTCATCGTGGCGACTCAAGAGGACTGAGAATAACAAGTTGCTCTATCAGGCGGCCGGTTCATCATTCGAGAAGGAGACCAAGACTAGACATCCTGACATTATTGGACAGGTGGCACATGTCTATCCAGTGCCAATCGTCGACGGTGGAAATGCCGAATTGAAGAAGGAGCATGGTGTGGAAGTGTTGTTACTAGTTGTTGGACCAAACATGAACGAGTTGAAGGCCAATCAATTGGAGGACTACGAAGACTCTATACCATTACTAGAGAACACCTATCGTGCAATATTGTCAACACTTGACAAGCAGTCATAAATAATTGTAAAGTGTTGTAATTAATTAATTCTCAGGTCCACTAATCAGGGTCCATGTTGTTCTTTCAACAACACTTTAATGTTGACTCCATCAGTAGGGTAATCATGTATGGAGTGAGGAAAGTATGGGGGTTATGATCATTCGATAAGTAAGTATGGGGGTTTATGACTAATAATGAAAGGATTCAATCCCCCCTCTGTAATACATTGGGAAATAATTCCCGTGAGCCATCCAAGTTTGAGTATGTATGTGTATGTATCTTTATATATATTGTCATTAACATCATCAATGTATTTGTTGATGTTACTACTGCCTCCCTCCAACACTCAAAGGGGGGAGATTAAATATATATTATTTATGCATTAATTACCATTACATATTTAAAGTGTGAATCAAGAGTATTTGAAAGACTGGTCTTTTAATAGATATATTAATATTACTTTTTGATCATTATTAATTAAATAAATAAATAAATATTAATATATATTAGAAACTATATTTCCCAACTACAACCACAACACCTACCAATCTAGTCAACCGATTTAAGAATGGTTACTAGTGAAAGGGGGAAGAGTGCCCTCTTCCTTATTGCCCTCCTCTTTGTCATCCATAGTGTACATGTAGATGCAATGATGAGTAAGTTTGTCAATATCAAAGATATTTATATAAATATAATTGAATTTATTTATGACTTCAATTTATTTAATTTCATATATAGTAAATGAAGGCCTTTGCAACACCATTCAATGTCCTTTTGGACAAGTGTGTTGCCATCCTTCTGTATATGTGTCTCCCAAGTGTATCTCTGTATGCACTTTCAAAACATGTTCCCTTGGTTCAACATGTACCGTTGATTCCCTTGGCCAACCCAAATGTCTATTGCCTACATCTGGTACAGTATCCACTGCAAGCACCGTTGTCAGCACCGTCGCAACCACCACCGTGTCTACAAGCAGCACTGTTGTAAGCACGGTTGCAACGACCACTGTGTCGACTGCCAGCACTAGTGCCCCCTCGTCTTCTGTATCATCCACCACTGTTACGACCACGGCTACTACTACTGGACCTGTCTCCACAATAACTGCCACTACCACGGTGACCACGACAGCCGGTACCTCCTCCACAACTGTGTCGACAACTAGCCCAGCAGTGACAACTTTGGCATCAACCACTGTTACGACTACTGCAAGCACTACAGTATCAACTGTTGCTGGAGCAACTGGCTCGACCGCTACGACCACCGCATCAACAACTGTCTCGACCACAAGTATTCCAACCTCGTCCACCACTGCCACTACCTCTGCTTCAACTACCGCTACAACAACAGTCAATCCTTCTACTATCACCACCACTGCGTCCACCACCGCCACAACTACGGTGACTCCCACGTCAACAATCACCGCCACCACCACGGTGACAACTACTGGCAAGCCACCATTGACTATTACTACCACTGTGACAACTACAGCCTCTACCACAGTGACACCAACCTCTACAATCACTGCTACTACCACAGTGACAACTACTGGCAAACCACCTCTGACTATAACTACCACTGCGACGACGACAGCCTCTACCACAGTGACACCAGCCTCTACTATCACCGCCACTACAACAGTGACAACTACCAGCAAGCCACCTGTTACTATCACTACCACTGCGACAACGACAGCCTCTACCACAGTGACACCAACCTCCACAATCACCGCCACTACAACTGTGACAACCACTGGCATACCCCCCGTTACCACGACAGCAACCACAATAGCTTCGACCACGGCCACAACCACAGCCTCCACGACCAGTCCACCAGTTACTACAACAGCTACTACATTCGGAGTTGTTAACACAGTGGGACTGTCCACAACAGGCACTAATAATGCCAACAACAAGTTTACCCTATTTGCCTTTGGKTGATTCCAACAATAATAATAATGGCATTCAGGACACTGACGAGATATTTTTCTTCCAGGGCAGGGGCAATCTGACAAGGGCAGACGGTTCGGTTGTCCAGGCGTCTCCTCCACCGAGGGACCCAAGGGTGTGGTCTTCAATAACCTGCCAAATGGTCACTACTGCCTCAATGTTGACTACTCAAACGGAAACTACAAGGTCGGACCACTTGGAAACAGCAACACCATCCAAGACAACTTGATCAACCCGGTCACGAACAAATATTGCTTTGATCTAAATCAATATATTCTAGACCTGATTGTTCGGGTTGGTTATGTCCAAGTGATCAAACCAAAGGTCAAATTGCAGATGTTCCAAGATGACAACAAGAATGGCAAAGATGATGCTGGTGAACCATGGGCATTCCGAGGACGTGGCAACCTCACCAAGGCCGATGGAACTGTTGTCACTTCCTTTGACAAGACCAATGGAATTGATGGAGTCATCATGGGACCTCTTGATGATGGCGAGTACTGTCTCAATGTTGATCACAACTCTCCAAATGATTGGAAGATTGGACCACTTGGTACCACTGGCACTGTCGATGACAACAAGATCGATCCTAACACCAACAAGTACTGCTTCAAAATCTCTGAAGAGACCCCTCTCAACTCAGATGGCCAACTGGTAATCAAGGCCGGTATTGTACCATTCGTTCGAAACTCTTTGATCTTGTATGGTTTTGAGGACAAGGACAAGAATGGCAAACAAGATGTTGGAGGGCCCTATTCCGCTTATGGCCAAGGCAATCTTACCTTAGCTGATGGCACATTGGCCAGACTAAGTTAGGTATTTGTAGATCAAAGATAAACCTGACCTTTATTATCTTTAAATGATTGATTGATTAATTAATTATGTTGTTGTGGGATTATTTGTTTGGTTGATATGCAGTGGACCAGATCATGACATTGCGTTCAATCAACTCACTTCAGCTGGATATCCAATAACCAATTATTCATCATGAATCATATTGTTGGATTGAATGATACAAGTAAGAATTAAAAAAAACATTTATATTCGACGAGGGTGTAGTCTTCCCAATGATGAGTCGTGGTATACACAATTATTCATTGTAAAATAGATATTATCTGACCTATACTACCAAGATAAATAACTGAACTGTCACTTCAGTGAATTGTAATAGATACACCTGAATATTAACCTAATTAATGAATAGTTCAGTTACAGATCAAGGTTAATAACTATTCACCTGAACTTACGGAGCATTGAGACTAACATGGAAGCCGGAGTTGACTTTGGAGTTTTGGAGGATGGAAGATACTGCATCAATTCAGATCATCCTAATCCTATATACAAGGTCGGACCATTGGGTACATCTGGCACTGTCATGGACAACAAGATTGATCCAACCACAAATAAGTACTGCTTTGATTTCCCAGGTACCAAACCACTCAACTCCAAGAACCAGATGGAGGTCAGAGTTTCTTATGTAGGAGTATAGGTTCTAATAAAGATTTCTCTTCCTAGGAACTTGAAGTAATATTTCTCTCTTAATCACTCTATTATTTAAATACATCTATCATCTCTCAGAGGGCCCATGACTGTCTCAGGGTCCACCTGCAGGATGTATCGTGCTTCATTGCAATTATATGTATGATTTATTCCTTTTTCTCCAGTTTTCTAACAATCTCCGTGAGACTGACAGTGCTCTGCTTGAGGAACTCCTCGAGGAAACGCCTGTGAAGTGCTGGTGTTTCTTTGTGAAGCTTGAGCTTAGGCACTCCATTGTTCGTCTCGCTTGTGAAGCAAAATCCAACTCTGATGAGCAGATCGTCCCCTTGTAGCAGTGGCAGGCGATTCTCGTCGAGGGGCACAACATGATCGGATGATGTATGAGCCGTGAGGATGTAACATATAAAATGCTCCCTGAGCAAGCGATAGTTGTGGACTCTGATGATGGGGCGCGCAGGAAGACATCCTTCTCTATGGGTGAAGTACAGGGGAGCGATTGTTTCTGATAGATAGAAGCGGTGAGAAATGCCCGGAGGAAATCCAAATACTCCAAGATAAATTGATGACAATGGGTCTTGGACAACTGAAGAGCCAGGTGTGGGTTCCTTGAGTTGACCATCTAGATGACTTCTGATGTGACCTGTAAGATCCCACTCTGATTTGTCAATACATGCTTTACAATTTGGTTGACCATCTGTGGTCCATTTGCACTGTATCTTCTTCTGGACAATTTCCGATTCGATTGAGAAGTGGCTCTTGATGTGATCGTGGAGTTGATGCAGTAGTATACTAGGGTTGTCACAATTGGCCCATCTACATGTGATAGGCCGTGTATCCTCCCACATCGAATAGGTTTCGTGAGTCTTTAGATGATCATCCAGTGTCATCCTTGATTGTTGCAATGACATTCTTGCGACCGCTCTCTCCACAACATGGTCGTCGACCAATGAACAACGTTCATGCACCAATGGTAGGCAACCAGAGTTGCCAACCTTGTGAAGTGATGAGTTGAGCGGTCCCACAACAATCCACAGGCGAGATATGTGGGTAAAATGGAGTCCATCAGTGTTGAAGCAATCCCAGGATTCCGACATGTACTTGAATAGGAGCAACTCTTTACAATTGAACTGTCCCAGGTAGAGGTGGAGCTGGAAATTTGGTTCGTCCAGGACCTCTTCCTTTTTTTTCGTTTCCTGAAGAGAGGCCCTGCGCCGAGTTGTCGTTTTGATGTTAGTAAGGTCGGTCTATCACACGCTCAATAATACACGCTCATACCCTGGCTGGACGTTCTGCACAGCTTGAACTTGCTGCACAGCAGGGGTTGGCTGCACGTTAGGAGCTGGCTGCAAGGTTGGAGATGGCTGGTCGGTTGGAGCTGGCTGCACAGCTTGATCTTGCTGCACGACTGGGGATGGCTTCTTGTGTACGGCTGGATCTGGCTGCTTGTTTACATAGTTGAGAAGCCATTTCCTAAGATCAAGAAATGAACAGTGATTGTAGCTTCCATCAATGCACATGATTCGGAAAGAAGAAAAGGCCAGGGCGAGAAGGAGCCATCCTTTGTACTCAATAAACTCCACACCTGTTGGAAAATTGATGACTTCCAAATATTCAGCCAAGTTGGATTCTGCAGAGCCAAAGGTGTTGTCGCACCTGTTAATGGATTGATTAGCATACTCATATATCTACCAAGAATATACATACTACATTACCTTTTGCAGTATAGAGGGAGATGTGCTTTTTGAATGCTTGTATCTCTGATAAGAGGGCGGTTTGAGTCCTCAAACTGGACATGGCCAACCTTTAAGGTTTCACTCGGGAAGATCAGATGCAGCTTCTTCAGTATGCAGGCGGAGACATAATGGCTGTTTATCTGTTTCTCCTTCTAAATAAATATGTTAGTTTAATTATTCCTCGAAGTAATCCATGTATCATCAGCCAGTCGTACGTATAGGTATACCTTTAGACACATGAAACATCTTGGAGGCCTCTTGCCTGCCCTAATATGTTGATACAGACACTCAAACATCGAAGTAAGGTTTGAATTAGATTTGCTCTCTTCGATCCAATCGTCACCTCCAAGTTTGGCATATTGGTCCTTAAGTTGCTGCTCAGCCATAATGGGAGGAGCTTCAACCTTGGCTGGGATATAGTAGTTAACCAAGAACTGAAGCATCTCAGCTTGCTTCACACTCCATATTTCTAGGTCTTCAGGTTCCGCCTGATCAATAATATCAATTGATGATGACATTGATAGAATGATTGGTTGATTGATTGGTTGATGATTTTTATATTGTTGATGTTGAAGATAAATTTATGAATGTGATATATATGACTTCTGAACTATTATTATGAATGATTAAAAGTGTTAATGAAATCAAGATGTTCATTACATCCTAGATCCTTTTTTTTTCTCATATGCTCATTCTTTTGAACTTTGTTGTTCAAAATGATTTTATTTAATTAAGAATGTTCACTCTAAGCAATAGAGAGCAGATATCGTGAAATCTTATCAACACTTGATAGATTGTAACTTTTGATTAACTAGGTGATTAATCAATTAATTAATTGATTTGTGGAGTTTGAACAACAGTTCTATCAATCAATGGTTATCATTGCCAATATTACCCAAACAAGGTGGACTGCCAATCCACACTCACTCTGTAGTTATTATCTCGATTCCTGATGATGACAAAGCACTCATATAAATGCAGTGGAGATAGATTAAAATATGATTTAATTGTATGATCCATTATATCATTCAATCAATTAATTAATCATATGACGTGCTGTTTGAGATAAATCAGACTGAACCAACTCTGGCTTCTCTCTAAAATAAGCGGTTACATTTATCAATACTTATTCTACATTGGTATTAATCTACAAATATGTCATATGACTTATGATATGTTGTCCCACCCACCCCTATGTGTCCAATGGGTATTCAAGATTGGCTCTGATCACCTGTGTATGTGTGTGATCAACAAAGATATAACTGTGTGTGTAGGGGGAGGGGTGTGATGAGAACACAAGTCGAATTGACGAATGCCTGTTATGAGACAGCCAGTTCAATTTTAGTTGTTGTTGTTATAAATAAGAATATATATAATATAAAATATAACATTTAATTATTATATATATAATGTATTCGTATTCTTAAATCTAACTGTCAAAAAGTATAGTACCATCGTCTTTGTCCCTACCTCTTTATCAATAAGTGGGTCAATCAATCATAGTTGTTGGGCTGGTGTGTGTGAGTGTGTGTGTGGAGTGTGTGTGTATGTCTGATCAAAGGGTGTTGCCAACGGGCCTACACACCCACCATGTCATCAGTCGCTTGGAGATGGTATCCCACCCTCGATCACACAACATGTCTGCTTGTTCATGTGATTCAAGACACATACGACATCCACACAAACACACAAGCACACACCAAGTAGGGTCACATGATCTACTGCCATCCACTACCACTCTTCATTCATTAATGATATAGGATATGACCTGGCTACATCAGCCAGATACTCTGCTTGGCTTATTTCACACAATCATAATCAACTACAACAACTACTACTTCCACCAACCAACTAACTAAACCAACTGACTGACTGACTGACTGACCTTAGTGGTATTGGCCCCTACCCTTCATGTCTATCTGCCATCCATCAATCAATCCATCACACATATGGCATGGCATTGCATCGTCTGAGGGGAGGAAGGGGAGGGTAGCACCTCCTGGAGGAGGTCAGGTCAGGTCATGTGATCACATGTCTATTTAAACATGTCCATCACCTTTGGTATCGACAACTACATATTGTTTTGATTATATGTTTGTAGTTGTCAATCATCAGTCATTATAATATATTAATATTATTACATTCAACAACAACATGTTCTTATTAATAGTCTTAGGTTTATTCCTTGCATTCGTTGCGGTAGGTGGATCATCATAAGGACCAATCATTCAATCAATCAATCATATTCTAACCCAGACCTACACAATCATTATAAAGTTCCATAAGAAGAGGACTTATGGAATGCCTCCAGGCCCATTCCCAATCCCAATCTTGGGTAACATTCATCAATTGGGAAGGATGCCTCATAAGTCACTTAAGGCATTCTCTGAGAAGTATGGTGGATTGACCACATTCTTCTTGGGAAGTGTACCATCCGTTCTTGTCAGTGATCCAACACTGCTCAAGGAATTGATCATCTACAAGTCCGAACAAATCATTGATAGATACAACACTGATTCAGCTCAAATCATTGGCAGTATGTTACACCCATCACTCACTCAATCAATCACTCAATGTCACTAACATCAATCAATCACCTTAGGGGAGAAGAACCTGTTGTTTGCCAAGGGACCATTCTGGAAGAAGTATAGAAAGCTATTCACCAATGCCATGACCAAGGCCAGAACACACAACATTGCATCCAGAATTGAGCAACAAGCCATTGCCCTCAACAACTTCTTTGGAACATACGCCGCATCAGGTCAACCAGTATGTTATCATGATGATCAAACATGTCCATGGACGTTCGTCTAACCAAACATTCAATCAATCAATTATAGTTGAATCCACATAACTATATCAGAAGATACAGTTTGAATGGAGTTATTGACTACTCATTCTCGGACTTTGTAGAGTATGAATCAGAGTCTGATCACATTGTTATCAAGGCCGCTGAGATTATGGAGGAAATTCTTGCCACGGGTAATCCACATGATTACATCCCATTCCTGAAGCCATTCTACAGTGCCAAGAGAAAGGCTTTGGGTGATGCCGTCGGCCAAGTGTGGACCTACTGTGATGACGCCATCAAGTTGCACAGACAAACACTCAACCCCGAGAAGCCACGTGACCTGCTCGATTGTATCCTGATGGAGTGGGACAAGTCCGATGAGAAGGAGTTCTACGAGGACGAGAGTCTTGCCAAGTGTCTGACCGATCTGATCGTCGCTGGCCACGAGACTGTCGCCATCACCCTCGGCTGGTTGATCATCTTCATGGCCAACAACCAGGACATGCAGGAGAAGGTGTACGAGGAGCTGATCAACGTCGTGGGCAAGGGCAACCTGCCCACCCTCATCCACAGAAACTCGACCACATACCTCAACGCCGTCCTCAAGGAGACGATGAGAATCAGAACCGCTGCACCTCTCGCCCTCCCAAGATGCGCCGTTGAGGACATCCAGCTCGGTGGCTACGTCATCCCCAAGGGCACCCAGGTGTTGATGGCCGTCTACGGTCTGGCCATGGACGACAAGCATTGGGAGAGTCCAGAGACCTTCAACCCAGACAGATGGAGCAAGGAATCGTCGTCCACTGACTACACCTACATTCCATTCGGTCTTGGACCACGTATGTGTGTTGGTATGGGTGTTGCCAAGGATGAGTTGTACTATGCCGCCTCTCAAATGTTGATGAACTTTAAGTGGAGCAGCACTGATGGCAAGCAATTGGATGATGAAGGAGTTGCCAGAATCGCCTTGGAGTACAAGCAGTACAACATCAAGGTTGAGAACAGAGCATGATCAATCCTTCCACTCCCCATCTCCAATCCATCCCATCATCACAGCGCATCCACCTCCATCCATCACCAACTCCAGACAACCAACAACAATCAATTGAAAGAATAAATAATACGCCAAACCCCCTTGTTGTAAATAAGAAATAAGAAACGTGGACATTGTTTACTTGACCATGTGTGTAGCAGTAGCTGTAGCAGTAGCTGTAGCATTGTTGGTAGTGGCAGGGACAGAGGCGATCGTGCCTCTAAGTGTACCAACTCTCAACAGTATATCTCTAAGTGCCACTCTGATGTCCTTATCATCATTCAGTAGCAACTGAATAAACTTGTCATAAAAGATACTAATGTTCTTCAGGAACTTATCGTCGTTGAACTGAAGAATGGCCTTGAGTATCCTGATCACTGTCTCTGTCTGTACAATCTCTCCATGATTGTTTGTAATGAATGTGTTGACAAGGTCTTGGAACAGGCTACAATGTATGAAGTTTAGTGATGATTAGAATGTGAGCCGTTTGTGATTGATCATTGAGGATACATACGTGACTAAGCGATACTCTGAGTGCATGGTTCGAGTGGATGAATCGATGGACTGCTCTGTATACAGGATGATGAGGAGGTTGAGGTAGCCAATGATGGTGCTGTGCTGGAGAACCTTGAGGATGATGCCAATCCTGGGCACTACTGGCTTAAGCTGTTCGTCCTGGAAAACGCTCTGAGAGAAGTGATAGGAGATGTCGAGGCAGTCGCATAGACATAGTAGTTGAGAGCTATTCAGTCGCTCGTAGTGTGTCGATGTGATGTCATTGATCGCCTGTACCATCTGAAGCTGCACCGAGCACTTTGACTGAATGGTCTTGAGCAGGTCGTGGTGGGCATTGTTCCAACTCGATGATCTCTTGTGCTGCTTCTTGAGATGCTTTTGTTCGATCAGTGAGGAGATTATTGGCGAGGAGTATGAGCGGCTGTGATTAGATACTGCTGTTGGTGCCTGTTGTGTTGTGGATGGCGATTGGGCTGATATATCATTGTGGTTGCTATGGGCTGAGTCTGTTGGGTCCAATGAGGACATGTTCTCGGCAGAGTGTGTCCTTGAGATGGCTGGGGAGAGTGACAGGGGAGAGGCGGGCAGCGATGTTGCTTGTTGTCTTGTCTCGGCAGCAGCGTTGTTTGTGTTGTTGGATGTGAGTGATGAGTTTCTGTCAGTTCCATTCATCAATGGAGAGATTGGTGCTGATGCTGATGGTGGTTTGTCAAACATCTTCAACTGTGATTGCTGCTGTTGCAGAGGGGCCTGCTTAGGCTTCTGAGGTGACTCTGGAACAATGCTGGCTGGTGACATCATTGCGGAAGGTGTGCTGGAAACAGTGACAACGACAGATGTTGGCGGAGAGATGATCAACAGTGCACTCTGATCGAATATCTCCAGGGGTGTGTTGGTCTCAAAGATCTTGTGCAGCTGTTGACAAACGCTGGACCACTGTGCACTGGTGAACTTGTTGCCATTGTGCGTGACCAGTTGAATGAGGAATGTGCCGGCAGTCTTGGCCAGCAGCTCATTGTCTTGCAGGATGCAGTTCACAAAAAGGTCCAACATGTCATCGAGGAGGAAACAAATGATGTCGATAAAGTTGATAAACATCTCGGTGAGCGATTTGAAAGCGCGGTCACCAGTGCGCACAAGCCACTCGGTGTCCTCGAGCACGACCTCGGTGGCGCCCTTTGAGTATCCCACGTTGTCAAAGACGGGCAGGAGGACGCCGCGGAAGATGAGCTCCCAAAGCTTGGGCGAGAACGTCGAGCCAAACAGTGCCAGAACACGGAACAGCGTGTCGAGTGCATAGCTGCGCATGTCGTCATTGTGATGTGAGATGACGCGAGCCAGACCAGTGAGCAGTGGGAACCAGAGGGAGATGTGTTGCTCAGAGTCTGTGAACAGTGTTGAGTTGCCGCCTTCGGCACCCTCGACACGGGCCAGCTGACACACACGTCCATTGGCAAGCTGCACGCCGCAGTAGCTGAGGATGTCGATGGCCTTGAAGCTGAGATCGATGTGCTTGGAGTTGGCGTAGCTGGATAGACAGTTGACATAGTCGATGAAGAATGTCTCGGTAATGTACGTGAAGTCGCGAATGAGCTCGTCGACAAACTCAAAGGCCTGCGACGCGATCTGCACCTCGGCAAAGCTGCTCAGCGTGAAGATTGTAAAGATGGGCTTCCAGCCCGACTTGATCATCGCGTATCGTCCGTTGGTCAGCTGGAAAATGCACTTGAGGATGAGCTCTCGTACATCGTGGTGCGCGTTGGCCGAGAAGATCAGCTCGAGCGGACGCAAGAAGTCCTTCTGCGTGGCCTCCTTGCTGACGTCCTCGAGATCGATGAACTTTTGCGCCATCTGTTTGAGCGAGTCGATGACCAGCGTAGAGATGTAGACGTTCTCGGGCATCGAGCCCACCCTCGTGAAGTGGTCGGCGATCGGCTGCCATATCAGACGGATGCGGCTGGAGTTGTAGACAGCGACCTCGACCAACTTGAGAAGCGAGAATGTTGGCGTCGACGATTTGATCTCCTCGTTGGACACGGCTGTCAGTGCTTCGACAAAGAACACGATGGCCTCGTTGGTGAGAGATGTGCTGTTTGAATAGAGATTGTTGGCAAAATCTAACTCCTTGGCGATGTTGTCCACTGTGATGCCCTCGGCGATGAATGGCATCTTCTGGGGCTGCAGACGGAAGAAGTCCGACGTCGATATGCTCTTGCGCATGTTCTTCTCCGAGTCTGGGTTCGGGTTGTTGACGCCCAGGTACTGGTTGCGCAGACGTTCCAGCAGTGAGATGGACTTGAGCACGGGCAGCCACGACTTTTGCAGGTAGTTGCCATCGGCTCGCGCGATCTGAATCAACTTCTCCAAGCACTCAATGTTCTTCTGCTTCAACTCCTTGAGCTTGTCCATGTTTGTAAAGTTGGCCAACGCCGAGACGAATGCCTCCTTCTCGATGGCCATTGTCAGCAGTGAGGTCAGGTTCACAGCGCATCGGAAGCCTTCCAAACAGACCTGCACGATCTTTGAATCTTCGGTGTTCTCCAGCACCAGACTCAGGCTGACCAGGATCGGATGCCAGACGGCCGACAGCATGGTCTTGAGCTGCTCGACAAGAACACCATGGTGGTAGAGATCGCGTGTGTCGACGACCAGCTTGCTGGGGTCCTCCATTGTGAAGGCCACCTGAGTGTGCAGACGTGGCAACTCGGAGATGTCGTCGTCTTCTTGTAGACGAAGCTGCTCCTTGGAAATGCGATCGTAGATTGAGTTGAGGAAGTGGTCCTCAAAGCTGCGCTTGTCATTGATGCCTGCATTGTTGCGAATGAACTCAGCCTTGGTCATGTGAGTCTTGATCGATGTGGAGTGCAGGTCACTGTTGAGCATGACGATCGCGAACGACAGGATGTAGGCGGCGTCCGAGTTGAGGAACTCAAAGCCCGGTGAGTCCTTGTTGTCTGAAAAGAACTTCTTGGAGAAGGCCTCCATCACACGATCGATCTTTTGTGCCTCACCCGCCAGCTTGAACTTGGAGAGGAAGTATCTGAGTGCGCCGTCCAGCTGGTAGCCTGTGAAGCAGAACAGTGACACGTAGGCTTGGAGCAGCGAGGCGTTGAACTCCTCGCGCTCCGAGATGTAGACACCTGTGGACGTCTTGTCCAGACCATCGGTGTCCAGCAAGAACTTGGCCAATGCCGCTGGCTCGCGCTGAGTGACTCCAATCTTGATAAAGAACTCCACGCCACGCTTGGGCGACATCTTGTACTTTGCCTTGCCCTCCTCTATCTTGAGCTTGAGTTCCTTGGCCTTTGTAAACTGTGTCTCTGTTATATGTTTGTTTGTCCACGCTTGCAAGGCCTCCTTCTTACTTGTGAGGCCATCATCCAATGCCTTCAACAATGATACCAAGCAGTCCAATCCAGCATTCTTCACCTTGATCTCATAAGGCTTGCTATCATTCACAACAGTCTGAGCAATCTTTGATAAATCCTCAACCATTCTAAATGTTTGATTGAGTTAGTGATTGATTATTGATTGATTGAGTGCCAATGTGATCATGACCTACCTCTGGAAGATGTCCTTGCTGCCTAGACTACAATCATAATTTACATAGAGGTCTATAAGGATCTGCGAGTTCTTGCAGACGTGTGACATCACTTGTAGTGCCATCCATCGCTGCTGAATGGAGCTAGAGTTGTTCTCCAACACACGTAGTATGATCAGTGAGAAGAACTCTCCAACCTCATCCTTTAGATACTCTCTATAGTGCAGCGCGATGTACATGAACAACACCAACGATTGTTTGAATATTGATATATGACCATTTGATGCCGCTGCGGCCAATATCGATGGGTACAATCCCTCGCGTATCTCATAGTTGATAATACTTGGGAAGTTCTTTAAGTACTTGCCATACTCCTCAAAGATCGATGACACCAACTCCAATGAGAATGTCTTGATTCTGAACTCTGGTGAGTCATAGCTGAGTGTTGGACGCGAGCATCAGGGTTAGTGTTGATCATGACCATGAGTGTGCGACGTCGTGACTTACTCATTGATCTCTCTTAGTGACAGCTCGCAGAGGAGTCTGAAGACGAGCACGGCATCCCTTAGAGAGATGTCGTACTCCTCCTTCTCATTGTCGAATACAACTGGCAGAGACACTGTTGGATGTATGACCTTTTGTGGAGAGTTGGTATGTGTTGGTCCATTGAGGTCTCCATTGCCATTGAGGTTGCCATTGCCATTACTGTTGTTGTTGCTGTTGGAGTCGCCAGATGATGTGGCACTATCCTTGTCTGTTGCCGACTCGTCTTGCTATTGGATGAATGAATGAATGAGTACATGGTAATTGAAAAGGGATAAAGGAGGAGGGAGGGATACATACAACAACCTTCTCGATCAAATCGTCAATGATGTCGGCTACTTGCTCGTGGGGATTTGATGAGATGAATGGGAGAGTGGGAGGTGATTGAAGCTCCGCAGGCAGTTGGATTGAAACTACTGTGCCGCCAATGAGATCTGGTGTGTTGGATGTGGATGTTGACGATGGTGTAGATGACTCGCTGGTGCTGCCCGACGTTGACCTGCTGTGGACGTTCAGATGACGACCTGCCGCCGACGATGAACCCGACGTCAGCGATGCCAGATACTTCTGATTGGAGAACTGTTTGAACAGACGGTTGAGTAACTGTGTGATCGCAGTCTTGGTGGCGTTGGACAAGTTGGAGAATGGCTTCGAGTGCACGTAGATATAGAACATAGTCTTGAACGAGAGTACCAGAGTGTACTTGTGATACTTGCTCGCAGTCAGTGTCACCAACTTGATCACCTGCAATAATGCCATATCATCGCCAACAAGATCGACACAATGTAACAGTGTAGCCTCGAGGAACCTGTCAATCAATGGCTTCTTATTCTCATCGAGCATAGTCGATGTGATATAGTTTGATGATATCAATTTCTAGATTGTGGATAGATGAAGTTAGTCGATCAATCCCCTTGCGCGCTGGAGTCGTGCATGCATTCATTCATACCTCTGTGATCTCAAGAGCGGGTAGTATTAGCTTGGTGTTGTTGTTGTAGGCTTCGAATGAGAGACGAAAGATGGTGGCCAGTTGACCAACTACTGTGATCCAGTGTTGACTTTTGATTGCTACATCACTGCTGCCTGATGTCAACAGGTTGGGATGAGCCTTGAGTGTCTCTAATATATTTCTAATCTCCTCCTTAATCTGTTGTTGTCGCTTACTACTATCGGCCACCAACTTATTCAAACATTTGTTTACCAAGTTATAGATGGGCTCTGGTGTCGAAGGTGGAGTTGCTACTCCCTGTTGTTGATGTTGTTGTTGTTGAGCACCATTATTATTATTGCCTGATAATGGCAAAGGTGATGTCGGTGCAGACTGCTGCTGTTGCTGCGGTTGCTGTGTCGGCGTTGACATCTATCCCTTTACTCTTTGAGTTTGAATGACGTTGACCTTGACTTTGACTTTGACCTTGACTTTGTATAACTAGTTAACCAATGAGTATGAACATGTATTATATGTATAAGCAAAGATATTTGTTTGTAATTATGTGTTTGACTTGTAGTTGTTCAACATTGATAAACATGATGTGTTTTGCAAACTTAGAAAAGTCGACCACGTTGTCGTGCCAACGACACCAACACCTGGGGCAGGTCCATTCAATTCAATTCAATGACAATTACACCCTACACATTCAGATGTTGTATAATGTATATAAATATATATGTCTGTCTGTCTGTCTGTTATTTATTACAATCAATCAATCAATCAATCAATCAGAAGAAGAAGATTGGTTCTTCTTCACTGCAATCAACTCTTTCTCAAAGGCTGCACGCAGTGTTCTCTCTTGCTCCAGCTCTTGCTTTAGAAGGTTGGTCTGTCTGACGAACTTGATGGCCAGCGCCCCCATGGCATCGAGCATCTCCTCCTTGCTGTTGAACAAAGAGAATGATGCCTTGATCTTCTCGGCAATGGCTGCCTCCTCGGATGCCACCGACGGTGATCTTGGCGATGCACTTGGTGTTGTGGACTTGGGAGATGGTGGCTGTAGTTGTTGTTGCTGTTGTTGTTGCATTTGAGATAATGAACTGGATAGATCACCACTGCTTAGATGGATGGAGAATGGACGACGAGTGTGTGCCGGCGACATTCTCTCTGGCGTGCTCCTCAGACTGTTGCTGCTGCTACTGTTGTTGCTAGAGGTGGATTGTGGCGACTGTCTGAAGGTCGCACTGATGTCCTTTATGATCTCGACGCATCGCTTGGGGAAGATGCCGTAGTTGTTCTTCAGCTTGCCAACCCACCATTCGCCATTGATGTCCTTGGCGTTGTACACCACGACCAGGTCGTCGACGTTGAGCGACAGCTCTTCGTAGGCCAGGCGACCATATGCCTCGACCACCTTGGTGATGTACGTCGGCTGCTCCAGGTTCACATCGTTGATGCTGATCCTGCCCGTGGCGCGGGTGATATTGGACAGTGGCTTGCGAGGCTTGTTGGATGATCCGGTGGAGCTAGGCAGGGTCCTGTACTTGGTGGCCTCGTCATTGCCCGCGGCATCGATGGCGCTGGTTGGATGATGATGGATGCGCGATGACAAGTCAGATGCGCTGGCACCATGGTTGAACTCCTTGTTTGAGTCTGTCTCTTCGACTGGGCCCGACGGTCCCGACACCTTCCTCGAGTGGAACTTTACATCGCCGGGCTGCTCACTATGTAGCATCTGCTCCTTGTTTATGTTTAGTCTTGGTGACTTTTTCAAAGAGTCGTTGGTGGACGTGCTGTTGGCGGTGGTTGGCGGTATCTTTAACAATGGCGGCGAGGATGAAGACAAGTGCTGACCAGACATTGTGTTATATTGTTGTCTGGTCGTCGTGGGTGGTGGGGCCATTGTCGTTGTTGGCTTCTTCTTTGCTCCGGCTGGTGACATCTCGGGAGGGGATATTGAATGTGGCGAAGTCGATTGTATTATACGATCAATCTCCTCGAATGCATCATCTATATTATCAATCTCTGTTGACTTTGGTCTTTGTTTCTGAACGACATTCACTTGAGGTATTTGAGTTGTTGTCGATGTTGTTGTTGTCGGTGGTTGAGTTGTTGATTGTAAAGGTGGAGATAAGCTTATCTTTGGTGATTGTGATTGTTGTTGTGATTGTGATTGTGATTGTTGTTGGAGTGATGAGGTTGATGTGCCAAGTGGATCTTCACCATAGAGCTCTTTGTTCCATGTTACGTATGATTGAGGGAATAGTCCCTTCTTGCCGTAGATCTCTCCACGCCACCATCCAGTTGGTGCAGTTTCAAATACAAGTATAGTGTCACCTCGATGGAAACCCAATTGAGCCTGATGTATTGCTTTATGTTCTTTAGTTGCTATTGCTTCGAAGCAGTTCATGTTTATTATATATAGTGTTGTTGTTGTTGTTTAGTTATATATATTATATATTGTTTGATTGTTTGATTGATTGATTGATTGATTGATTGTTTAAACTGATAATGAATGATTGATGGTGATGGTGATGATATTGATGTTTTTGACGATGATTAAAGTAAAGGAGGAAGGAAGTCTGACTTGACTAAATGACCTGGATATACCCAACCTGCCCTCCATCATATTTATCACTCCCGCCACTAACACTCGATGTATGAAACGTCATCTCACGATGTAAGTTTGGATCTAAGTTTGATCGAAACACCCACAAACAAAACCCTATTGTACAAACGTGTGCAATCGTTGTGGTTGTGGGGGGAACAATGATTGATGGCAGGCCTGTGTTGGGTCCGTTTAAGTATGTGTCTATGACTGTGAAAGTAATGTTCCATCAGTTGTAATGCATTAAGGTTAGTGTTTGAAGTTTGTTTGTTTGTGGTAGGAGGCAATCAACGACCCCAATTATTACACCTTGTTTGGTGATTGCCAAGGCCTATATATCAGCTAGCCAGCCAACAAGCCAGGAGACCACCACACGACCGTGATCAGAGATCGGAGTAGTGACCTTATAAACCATGGACTCCAACAACTCCCTCATTAGGTGTGTTCATTCTCATGAATTATACTGGATCAATGTAGATGTTTTGCTGGCTATTGAGGGAGGGCAACATATACATTCGGGTCAGCATTAATAATTCATTAATTCTATCATAAAATTCATGTCCATTCAAGCCGATGTCTTTCCAAACCAGACACTAACAAACATACCTGGTTGATGACTAAAGAATACTCATCGTACAATGTCAAACAAACTCAATTTCACCATTTGTAAATCCATGTTTTATCTGGAGTCATTAAATTGTTGGTATTAATATCATATACCAACAATTAAAAAAGACAATCGTACCATGGATGCACCATTGGTACCAACACTTGTATTGGAGTAAGTTTATGAGTTAATGAGTTGTTTATTACCTCCTCTTGATGTTGTTGTTGTTGTTGTTGGGTGGATGATTGAATGAGTGATGATGAAGATACATTGGTTCCTTCTTCCCTTGCATGCAAAGGAAGAAGAAGACGCTCTTTTGTATTGGAAGTATGATAATGATAATGATCTCTATACAATTCTCTCAAGCTCCTTGGCGTATTGCAACGTCTGGCGAATGAGTTGAATGGATGGAATCTCGACTTGGGCCGGGCCAGAGTCGAAAAGGATTCTATCGCCTTGTACCTTCCATCCACGCTTCTGTACGTATTGATTCAACTGATCGACACTATTGATCTGCAACACCTTTTGTGCCTCTGTCACTGTCAGATACTTGAATGACTTCTCAATACAGTTGGCAATGTCCTCCCTAAGATACATCATTGATTGATTGAGTTAGTGAGTGAGCGAGTATGATTGACAGCGTGAACATCACATAACATACTTCATTGTATCAGACAAGAGATCAACAAAGATACCATAATACTCTGATGGTGCTTGTGATCTGCATACCAAGACCTTTTGGTAGCTGCCCTCAGAGATGGACTTCTCCACCAACAATGGGAATCTGATGAATTGGTTGGTGTGCAGGTCGGATGGGATCAGCTCGAGGTCGGCATGGAATCGTGCCGTCTGGTTAGTGGCCAACAACTTCATCAGATTGAGACCAATGATGCTGTACTGCTGAGCTGATGGTTGAATGAACTTCTTGTAATCATTGTAATATGGTGTCAACTGTGAATAGTATCTATCGAATGCCTTTATATCTCTCTGCTTAACAGTGTACAATGCAGCAGACTCCAATATATCTCCTAAAGTTATGTTTGATTGAATGAGTATGTGAGTGATCAATGATCAAAGAATGAATGGATTGAATGATTGATCATACTTGCTAGAACACACTCCTTAAGAACTTGATCATTGTGCTCTGTTTGTGATGGAGTTGCCAATTGAATCAGGGCAATCTTGAGCTGAGCCAAGAGGGTGTTGGCCTTTGCTTGATCTGTTGATTGTGCCTCTGCCAACTGTTTGAAGGCTTGATAATTCTTTTGAGTGTTGGTAAAGTCGACCATTATTATATATAAATATTAATATATGTTATGATTATGTAGTTGTTAAGTAATAAATGTGAGAAGTTGAACAGCACATTGATTTTGATTGAGTGTTGTTGATGTTCACTCACATATTGATCAAATAAATAAAAAATTAATCAAATTGAATCATTCATTCATTCTTTCATTCAATGAGATCACTACTTATTGTTCATCAATCTTTTATGATATCACTACATATTATATATATATTACTCTATCAATCAACGAGATGGAATGATTCCAAATACTAACTACTCAAATTCATTTGAATTGATTGGGAAGGGGAAGTTCAACTTCCAAATTAATTCCCATAATTCATCAAAATTGAGTTTGATCATCAACAATCATGTTTGATTTAGGCATGTTGTTGAGGCAATAATGTCAAACAAAGTATCTTAATATTCATTTAACTCTGTATTCTTTATATTTATAACACACATACATACATATATACACAATGAGCCAACAGCAAATGCAAAAGATATTGGAGGAGACAGCTGCATTGAGCGATCACAAGATCAAGAGTGAGAAGTACAAGTCGTTGTTACAACAGTTGGTCGATACAAAGGATCTCAACAATCTCAAAGTGTTCATCACTCATGGTATAGTATCGTCTTCATCGCGATGTCGACATTGATTGAGTGTCCAACAACAACAAACTAACAAACAAAATCAAAGTTACTGAGGAGTCTACACCATTGGTCATCTCAAGATCGATCTTGACCACGTTGACTGTGGCTTTGAAGGGACTGGACAGCGCTGCTCAGATGTCATTGAGCAACTATATCCTTGAGCGTATTCAAGACAGAGTTGTTGCCTTTGAGGAGCAGGTCTCTGACATTCGTTACAACTTGGCCAAGTTGCTCGAGAGACAAGAGAACTGGAGAGATGCGGCCAAATGTCTGATGGCAATTCCACTCGACAGTAGCCAACGGTATGTATTGGTCTCTCGCCACTTATTCACCTCCATTCATTCACTCATTCATTCAATCATTCAATCAATCAATCAATCATAATCAGTGTCATCTCACCAGAATACAAGGTAAAGATATATGTCAAGATTGCTAGATTGTTCTTGGAAGAGGAGGAGTCGGTACAAGCCGAGACATACATCAACAGAGCATCAGACTCTATCCATCTTGTCAAGAAGCAGAAGTTGATCCTGGCACACAAGGTATGTTATGTACAGCCACAGTCATGGACATGGACATGGATACTTACACATAGCATAGACCTGTTTCGCAAGGATTATGGACTACAAGCGTATGTTCTTGAAGGCCAGCAACAAGTATTATGAATTGTCAACTATTCTGCCAAGCGAGGGCGATAGAGCAATGGCATTGATGTGCTCAATCATCTGTGCCATTCTCGACAAGGCAGGTCCACAGCGATCACGTATGCTTGCCACTTTGTACAAAGATGAAAGAAGCTCACAGTCCGAGGCGACCAAGGTTGTCTATCCAATTCTGGAGAAGATGTATGTATTATCTCAACATTCAATCAATCAACCTGGAATCATTCCACTCACTCAATCCAACAATCACTTTAGGTTTTTCGAAAGAGTATTGAGAAAGTCAGAGGTGACCAAGTTTGCTCAGTTGCTGAAGCCTCACCAGATGGCTTTGTTGTCTGATGGTGGAACGGTGTTGGACAAGGCAGTGATGGAGCACAACTTGTTTGCCGCAAGCAAGATTTACAACAACATCACTTTTGATGAGCTGGGCTCACTGCTGGAGATCCCTTCGGACAAGGCCGAGAAGATCGCCGCCAAGATGATGATGGAGAGTCGTCTCGTTGGTTCAATCGACCAGATTGACCGTCTGATCCAATTCGAGACCGAAGGCGATTGTTTCTCTCAATGGGACAAGAGCATTGAGAACATCTGTCTCCACATGAACTCAATCATCGAGAACATCACAACCAAGCAGCCAGAGTTTGTTGTTTAGATGTATGTCCATCCCTACACCTGGCTGGCTGGCTGTCTGTCTGTCTGGATGTCTGTATGTCTATCTTATCTGATTGACACACCATTCATTGGAATTGCGTCAAATAGAATATGTCACCTTTAAATAATAATACTATTCAATCAAATCCCATCCCATCCCTTCCCATGATACTCGTCCATCTTATATGTTGGGTCCGATAACAGACCAATCAATCAGCAATCAGTATCTCTCAATCAGTCGTTTTATTTTAACCCTGGGCAAATGTCGCCCCATCAGAACCTGTCGACAAATAGTTATTTTGGGTCTATGAATTCATCGCCCAAGTTAAAGTTCCTGAACCTCCTCCGTTGAGAAATAATAATATCTTATTATCTCTTCCTAACTCCGAAGTGACAAACACAAACTAGTGTTTGTTCTTGGGCCAGGTACCTACAAGGATCTCCCCGGTGGGGTGGTTTTCGTTCTGCAAAGGACCTTATCAAAGTGCCCATTTTTTGTTCATCAAGTGGGGCTTGGGGGTTGGGTCCAACTAAACACTATGTTTTTTCTTCCTTCTTGTTGTCCTCCTCCGAGAGCACATGACTCAAAACTAGATACTAATGACCAAAGTATCTCAATTTAAATCAACGTACTCCGACAAGATATATATCATAGTTATAACTCCATTTATTTATTTACAAATAATAATCAATGACAAAGTGCAAGGAATATACATCTGACTCTATTGAGTAAGTGAGGCCTTTATTGAGCCCTCTCTAAGGCCACACATTCAAACTCACACAATCAATCACACACAAACTCAAACACTCAATCACATAGGGATCAGACAGAGTTGAAGAATCAATATGGAAACTTATTGAATGATAAGGGACAGTTGATGTTTAAGGGTTGGGCTAGACAACCATTGATCAAGTATAATCCAGAGGCATTGGGAAGATGGAAGAAGGCTTATAGGTTGAAGGAGTGGAACTATTATTCGGTTGGAAGTGATAGGTTCTACTTTGCAGTGGCCGCCATTGATTTGGGCTACGTCATCAACTTCCAAGTGTTCTTCATTGACTTTGTAGACAATAAGACTGTGCAGGATGAGGTCACATCTTCATCATTGACCAAGGGTCTACTGTTACCACGTGACAGTTGTCAACAAGGAATACACCTAGACTACAAGTCAAAGTCATACAGTCAACACTTTGAAGTCAATGAACGATGTCCTGCCAACAACGAGAGCAAAGGTGTACTTGAGGTGTATGAAGAGACCTTGGTCCACACTGTAAAGGTATGTTTCATCGGACCAATGTGCGGCCAATCACCCAGGGACCATTCCAAACACAATCCATCACTTGTGGAATCATATTGGAATCATTCCAATCACTCACTCACTCGCTCAATCTTGGAATCATTCCAACACCAAATCACTCCATCATCCCACCCTCAATCAATCAACATACCTTGGAACCATCCATCAATCCATCATTCTAACTCACTCATTCCCTGATTCAATCAATCAAATCCAGGTGACAAGCCAAAAGTTAAAGTTGGTGGCTGAGTTGACATTCAACTTGTCTCCAAAGAGAGAGTCAGTGGTGTTGTGTACTCCAATCGGAAAGTCCAACTTCTATTACAACAGAAAGACTAATCTGATACCGGTCACTGGAAGTCTGATGATAGATGGCAAAGAGTATCTCGGTCAATATCAATTGCAAGACGCATTTGGTATCTTGGACTGGGGTCGTGGCATATGGGACTACAACAGCTTCTGGATATGGAGCACCTGTTGGGGACACACCAACGACGGTCGTCCAATCGGACTCAACCTGGGCACTGGCTTTGGAGATCTGACGACACACACGGAGAATGCCATCAACATGGATGGCATCATCCACAAGCTCGGCCACATCGAGTTTGAGTACAACAAGAAGGACCTGATGGCGCCTTGGAGATTCATCTGTCGCCATGGCCGCTTTGGCTCGACCTCATCACTGTCCTTTACACCATTCCGCAAGAAGTGGGAGAACAACAACTTTGGACTGGTCATGTCAAGCTTCCACCAGATCATTGGCAAGCTGACAGGAGAGCTGATTCTTGACTCGGGCGAGAAGGTCGATATCAACATTCACTCATTCACCGAGGTACACTTTGCCAGATGGTAGGGTGTAGTGAGCGAGGGTAAGGGCAAGGGTAGGGTAAGTGATGATGTTGGGTGGGCGGCGACGCAACCCAGCCATCCTGCCAACCCTGGTCTAAATCCAAATATATAGAGAGACACTTTCAAACAGATAGATTATTACACATGTATATTTTTAATGGTATATAAATAACGGAATCCAACCAACAATGTCTGTCTGATTGAATGATTGATCACTTGTCCGAGTAAACTAGGTTGGGGTAGGGCAAGGGTAAGTGTCAGGTCTTATGTTTGATTGAATGAATGAATGAATGATTGGATGGATAGGTTTGGACTTACCATTGATAGGATGTTGTGGCTTGTTTTGGAGTAATCTCTCCTCTTCAATGTATTGACCATCATGATTCTTTTTGTCCAATACATAGATTGCATTCGGTCTGATTGATCCATAAATAAAGATAAAAGTACCAAGTAATCCATTGACCCATGTCATCGGGTAGAAATACTCTTGTATCGAACCCAAACAATAATTGAACAACAATGCCGATGATCCAAGGCAGAACACCATCAAGTTGACTCCAATCGATGAAAGTGCGCCCCATCTAGATGTGATTGATTGGGTTAGTGAGTGATTGGAATAGTTCCAAATAGTTATGAACCATACCTAAACAACTCGGTATGAGCAAATATGAAGAATCCAATGGCCGGTATTACACCAAGTGGAGGTATAACTAGGGTCCAGCCAGGGTAGGTGCAGTCTGCTGGGGACTTGGGAAGTGGACCATTGACATAGGGCGTGAACTCAAAGTAGAAGAAACAAAAGTATGCAAATGCCATTGGTAGTGTGCTAAGTAGTACACCTAGATTGTAGTCTGTCTTCTTGCCCTGTGGCTTCCTCGCCAATCCAACAAATGAGAACCATGGTCTAGTCTCTGGCAGATACTTGATAAACAACGAGAAGTGATACACTATGACCATGATCATTGACCATGATATTGCAAAGTATGTCGACTGTAGGAATGCTGTTCGATACACCTCTGACAGAGGGATCGATTGTGAGTCCTCTGAACTGGGCTCGCTTGATGATGACGTCGTTGAGTTGTGTGTGGTGTGATGATGGTGGTCTGAGCGCGAAGCCTGGCCCAGGGGGAAGGGGAAGTTGAACGTGATGTACTGCCACGCGTCCAAGGAATAGAGTACAATCCATACCGCGACCAGCGTGACAGTGCATATTGAGAAATAGAATCCAGCCTTTAGACCACTGTATCGCTTGATGTCATGTTTGGCCAGAGGGTAGATGGCAAAGATGTTCATGGCAAAGCCCAGGAAGAAGTGACGCCACTGTGAGAATAGTACCGGCTTCACCTTATCAGGTGGTATATAAGTGAATTGATCATCATCTCTATCAATCTTTTCCGAGTTCAAGTTGTTGAAATGATCCAAATCCTGTGACATAACGACACAGTTCCGCGACTGTATCTCCAAGTCCAACAGATTATAAGTTGTTCGTGTCAATATGGATACTCCAATGCATCCAAATATAAGTAATATACTCATTGGTGTCCAATACTGTGTGAATATAATAATGAGATATACAACAAATGGTGTCTAACATTGGCCAAGTGGAATAGTTCCATTGGGGTTAGTGAGGGCGAGGGTGAGGGCGAGAGCGAGGGCCAAGTCCTGGTCCCAGTGCACATACCTTGAAGAACATGATGAGGAAACCAATGGCAAGCTGACCACCGTATCTGAATCGCTTGTTGATGGCAGAGGCAGCAGTGAGGTAGGCAATACCAAAGTAGTTGAAAATGAGACCGACTAATAGACCTCGCCAATAATCATTGATTGTACCGGGTGTCTCACCTCTAGTACCAATCCTATTCCACCAAGCACGTATCAACAATCTCAAAGTAATCAATGTTCCATTGAGAAGACCCATACCAGCACCAACCTTTAACAATATTCCCTTGATCTCAGGATATCTACATACTGAATGTGGTGACCTATTTGTTTGATTGATTGATTGATTGCGTGAGTGGAGTGTCCACCAAGTCATTTGCAATGTCCAATTCATACATTTCTTGTGCACTATACATGGCTTTGTAGTCACATGCACCAATACGCAATGGACAACGTATCTTTGCTTGATTCCGATTGTCACTTGATGCAAAGTCCACATTTGTTATCCATCTATTTGATACCTCTAAACATGTTGAATCACACGTCTCTCCAGCTCTAAGTCCAACACATCCAATCTGTACAATATTGATGGTTAAGTTGTCATCTGGAACTGGAAGATATTGAAGTGCACTGGATAATGGATTGGTGTCAGTGGCCTGACATTTCTTGTCCATGGACATTGATCGTGGAAGACATACGCATCACAGTTTACCGAGAGTTGATCCTGGACATATTGTTTACAAGTTGAGTTCTTTGTACATTCATCATCGACCGCCATGAATATCCATGAATCTAAAGGTGTATCAAGATTGGCACATGCGCAACATGATGGAAGAGGACCTGTTTGGATGGGAGTTGGGGGAGTCAGCGTTGAGGTGATCACTAAGTCCATGAATCATTGATATGTACCATATAATGGCTGGATAGTATAATATAGATATAGGATCAGTAAGGGAAGGTAGAACAACATGATGATACCACCATACATGTTCCTACTTCCCTTCTTTATCTCTTTGAACCTAGGGTTGAGGTCACAACTTTGTAAGAAATCGACAACACTATCCATCTCTCTCAAAGTTGATTATATATATATATTTATATTTATCTGTTCAGTTATTATGAAGATAGATGGGGAGTAAACAATCAATCAGGTGTCGGGTCCCTCAAGGACCACCACTGACGTCAAAAGTATCCAAAAAACAAACAAAAAAATCGCAAAATGATCAGGAGGGGTTGGGACTCATCTGCAAATAGGAGGTAGTATGTGCCCCTGTGAGGAGACGCCCCAACCACAAGTCTGGAATTGTTTACTACCTCGCTGTTGGTGGGTCGTACGACCCGAATAAAGTGTAAGATCAGATGGCTATAAATATATGTATAAGTTTATATTATATTATAAAGGGGGATGAGATCGTGCTGCTGGTATGTCTTGGTGCTTGGTTGTTGTGTAGTGAATGTGTTGGGCACAGCGCTGGTGTTGCTGAGGGACTGACTGCCTGCTCAAGCCTTGATGTACTTATCCACAAACGTCTGACAGTCGTCGCCAAATGACTCAATGATTGTATCCCTGCTCGTACCTTTGCTGTAAAAGGCTGTGATGTCTATGCTGTTCTCTTTGAAGGACTGGACGGCCTTATCCTCGACTTCAAACTGTGAAACGAATTCTTTCAATATCTTGGCGATGGAGGACCCACATGACGAGACCTGGGCCGAGAGGACCTTGGTGAAATGTGGCAGCGTGAGTAAATTACATTGGAAGAGAGTGTAGCATATGTATCCAATCTGCTTGTAGGCCAGTGGTCTGTCTTCAAAGACATCTGTGAGTGTCTCTGCAAACAAATCAAATCTAAAGGTTGGTTGGTTGGTTAGTGATTGATCTATCGATTGATTGAATGGAATGGATGTGAACATACCCATCGTTGAGCATATCCTTGGTGAAGAGATGCTCCTTGGTGATGAGGTCGATGATGAGATTGGAGAGGGCGTTGAGACCACTTTCCTTCGAGTTGATGGCCTTGGAGACGATGGCAGAGATGACGTTGGGATAGAGATCGGTTGAAGTGATATCGTGAGAGATGTTTTCGGCAAACTCTGTGATGTCCTTGAGCTCCAGGTACTCATCGAGAGACTCGTCCACGGTTGAGCTGACCGACTCCCATGACACCTTCTTCTCGGCGGGCTTGTGAGAGCCTGTCTGTGAGGTCGATGTCGATGACATTGGTCGGCCTTGCTGTTGCTGCTGCTGTGGATGATAGTGCTGTTGCTGCTGCTGCTGTTGTGGCGAGAACTTTTTGTTCTGATCGTATCCCATCGTTGGCTGGAGGATGCCTGCTGGCTTCTTGATGCCGCCACCCATACCACCCATGCTGCCCATGCCACCCATTCCAGGCATACCACCCATGCCACCCATACCGCTAATGGGCTTGACAGTGGGACGCGTGAAGGAGGATGCTGCGTTGAACATGTTGTTCTTGGAGTTGGGTGCCTGCTTGACAAAGTTGTTGGTCTTGCGATCATCCTCGACGGTGCGCTCGTTGCTCGTGGTCTTGGGCGTCTCGACCTCCTTGCTCTTCCAGCCGTTGTTCTTCAGGTCCAGGACGTTTTGAATCAAGAACTTGATACGTGTCGACAGGTTGGACTGTGGCGAGATGAGCTGCTCCATGCGCTGGTAGTAGCCCATCATGAAGGTATCGGCGCCCTTCTTGGAGACGATCTTGCTGCCGATTGGCGCAAGCAGCTTGCAGAAGCACTCCAGCTTGATCTCTTGGGGTTTGTTGAGCTCGCCCATCAGTGCGACGAGGATGGCGTGGATGATCTTGTCGCTCAGCATGTCCTGCTTGAACAGCTCGGCGATAAAGTTGATCAGACCGTAGATCTTCTTGCGCTGGATGAACTGCTTCTCCTCAAAGTCAGTGCGCTCAGCACCGGTCAGGTCGTCTGGGATCTCGTGGATCGTTGGGAACAGCTGTGTGATCTTCTCGTACTCAGTCTGGCACGTCTGGAGCAGCAGAGTTCGCAGCTTGGGCCTGAAGTCGTCCTCCTTGATCTGGTCAGCGGGGGTGCCCGCGTCCACCAGTGCCTGCCTCTCGCTCTCCTTCTCTGTACGCTCAAAGGTGAACATCTTCTTGCACAGCTCGGTGTACATCGTCACGTACTTGGTCTCTGTGATGGCCTTGCTAAAGATGATCGTGATGACACCGGTGAACACATCGATGTTCCTGGTGACGCCAAGCTCGAGCAGGCTTTGGGCCTGCGACTCAAACTTCTCTGCAGTAATTCTGTTCAGAATGAACTTGGCCTTTCTCAGCTCTTGGTCCGTGTCGCTGAGGTCCTCCACCTTTGTCCTCTGCCATCTGTTCTCGTTGACAGGCAGCGCCGGCTGAGGGGGCTGTTGTGGGATGAACTGCTGCTGGATCTGCTGCTGATAGTTCTTGTACTGTCCGAACGATTGGCTGTTGTACTGGCCGTAGGGCTTGTTCTGGTAGGCGCCTGGCTGCTTTGGCATCATCTTGCCCATTGGCTGKGGTGGGTAGTTGTTGCCCGACTTGTTCAGCTTGGGTCCACTTCCGGGGCCACTGCCAGTGCCACCGTTGCTTCGGTTCAGATCCATGCCCAGCTCCTTGAGGTCGGGGAGCGACTCGATGTTGGGCGGCAGGTACTTCATCAGCTCCTCCTTGGTGTAACGGATGACGTTGCCAGTGCTCTTTGAAGCGAATGGCTGCGTTCCGCTGGACGAGCGAATTAGATCAGATGGGCTCGTGCCAAATCCTGAACCGCTATTGTACAGTGGTGTCTTGGAGCTCTGGGGGAACGATGCGGCCGCCTCGGTCGGCTGGTTCTTCTCCCACTCCTCCTCCTCCTCCGCCGCTGCAGGCGTTGCTGGCGTTGCCGCAGCAGAGTCGTCGTCACCAGTCTTGTCTTGAGTAGTCAACTCGCCATCCTCCATCTCGATGTCCTGCTTCTTCTGCTCGACCTGCTCTGCAGCCGGGGTGACGGGCTCCGTCACTCCAGCATTCGTCGTTTGAGGGCTCTCTGTCTTGGTCTTGTCCTCGACGGGCAGATCATTGGCAGTAGTGTCCTCGGAAGTGGAGGAGGTGGTCGCGGCCGGTGTGGTTGGGGTTGATGTGGACTCCTCAATCTTAGGTGTATTGGTCTCCACTGTTGTGTCCAAAGGCTTGCTGGTTGAGGAGGACACTGTCGTCGATTCGGTTGATGATGCGGCCGTGAGAGGTTTGTCGGCTTCAGTCGAGCCGGCAGCAGGTGGTGTAAGATCAGTCTTGGGCTTGTCCTTCTTGCGTGCATGAGCATTGCCCATACTGAATCCAAACTTGGCAGGGGCTGGTGCTGGTGAGGTCGCAGTGGCGGGTGCTGTAGCCGTTGCGGTTGCAGGCGAAGTCGTGGGGGTGGCGGGGGTAGTCGCTGACGACGCCGTGGCAACGGATGGGGTGGCCACTGCTGTAGCACTTGCCTGTGCAGGAGGCGTCGACGACGCTGTCTGTTGTGTTGGATGAGTCGACTGTGGCGGTGTTGCCTGAGGTGGTGTTGATCGAGGCGGTGTTGACTTGGGTGGCGACGAAGTGTTGACCGCCGTATTGGTGCTTGGATCGACGATCTCCACAGCGTGTGACTTCCTATCCTTGGATATTGTCATTGGTGAACTGGACTGATATTGGCCGCCGTAGGCCACATCTGGGATGGGTATAGGTTGAGGAAATGGACCATAGGGGCCATATGCCTGTGTTGGATATCCACCAAACTGAGGATAGTGGGCAACATTGGGTAAGAACTAATGGCAATGTGTTAGTAGTGGTCGACATCTCCACGATCAAATCAAGATCACTTACATGTTGGACGTGCTTCAGTGGAGGCGGAACGGCACCACCGGCACTCCATTTGTTCAAATCGTTGAGCGCGGGTGGAGCTGAATGCGTACGCAGCGGGAAGTCCATGAGGGCTGGGTTGGCAAGTGAAGGCCTCGCAACCATCGGCTGCAGTGGCTGTGGTGGCAGCTGTTGCACTGATTGTGGATCGACATATGGTTGTTGCTGTGGTGGTCTCTGCTGGATCGGTGACTGCTGATGCTGTTGCTGTGGCTGCTGCTGCTGTTGCTGATGAGGCTGCTTGTTCTTGTTGTGCTGTTGTAGAGGTTGTTGTTGTGGCGGCTGCTGCTGTTGTTGTGGTAGTGGAGGCTGCTGCTGTTGTGGTGGCTGCTGTTGTGGAGGCTGTTGTGGAGGCGGCTGCTGTGGATTCAGATTTGGGTTATGATGTGGCTGCTGCTGCTGCTGCTGATTCTTTGGTCCTCTGTATGATTGGTTGTTGTGAGGGGCGTGTCCACCACCTGGATGTCTATGTTGTTGCTGCTGTTGTTGTTGTTGGGGCATATAACCTCCCTGCTGGTTGTTGTTGTAGTAAGGTGGTTGCTGCTGATGCTGATACCTATAGTCAGTTGTAGTATTCGAAGAGTTCATATAAATAGAAAGAGATATAGAAGAGATAGATAAATAAGTTTGATTAATTGATTGATTGTTTGTTTGTTTGAATGATTGGAATGATTGTTTTGTGTTAGATATATCGTATGAAAGAATGAATGAATGAATGATTCGTTTGATTTGATTTGAATAGTACATACTTGGGTTTGTATGCTCCACCTCCACCTGTTGAATCAAGATTGAACGTTCGAAGGTCATCCATCATCAATGAGTCGATTGGACAAACAAAGAGAGATAGGAAGGAAGTTGAAGAAAAAGAATAGAAAGGGTGGTGATCATTTGGTCAGTCAAAGTCTTGGGCGTGTCGTCAAAAAAAGAAGATTGATTGAATGACATTGACAAGTGCACTTGATGTCATTGACATTGATTGAAGAACACAAACATACCATTGCTCATTGGAGGTGTCTGCTGTTGCTGCTGCTGTTGTGGTTGTGGTTGTGGTTGTTGGGGAGGTACGTAGTTTCCACCGGCACCGGGACGTGGGGCGACAGGGGTGGATGGGGCAGAGGAGGTGTTGTTTAGAGGCTCATGTTCTTTGCTACTGCTGTTGTTCTTCGATTGTGTTGTTGACATATATTCAATGCTTGATGTCTGGTTGGCTGGTTTGGTTCCGATTACTTCTGAAATGAAATCAGCACGACCCAAATGATAACCTATTTAATAAACTACTTTGTTTGATAACTTTGTGATACTTGGTACATCATAGAGTATGTTAACATGATTGATTGAACTGATTGAACTGAATGATCAAACATATACATACTTGTAATGATTTTAGCTCGCTCGTGTGCTAACTTCGCTACTCCTTTGTGGCTGCTACTGCTTACTTGGTTAAAGCTTCAAAGAGGCTTTGTTGTGGGTAAACAGGAGTTGTGATGTCTTCTTCGTAGATAGAGAGATAGAGATAAGAGTATAACCAGTTTGATTGTTAATATATGCTATACAACAATCGGTTTGGTTATATTGATGTCTTTTTTGTTCTGTCTGGGGAGATCAACTAACAACTTGGCTAGAGGTGTATGTGATGCGTTGGTTGGTTGGCTGGCTGCGCGACTGAATGTCTCTTGTGAATGAAACACTGAGCTTTGTTTGTTTGTTTGCAAGGGGAGTGTTCACACTCACACACTTACTCATTCTGTTTTTAAACAACTTTAATTTTATTTAAATAAATAATAATTGTTCATCACATCATGTTCACACAACTACTCTCTGACCATCTTACTACTTATGTGAACATATAAGTATCCTTTTATGGAAAGGACATCCTATATAAGTGTGTGTTGTTGTTTGTGTGTGTAATATTATAACAACACAATACTTACCAGGGATGACAAACTCAAACTACTTTGAAGTCCAATCTAAGAAGTCTTCATCGTCTGACAACAACAGAAGTATTATGTGTAGTGATGTGTTGGTTGTGACTCACAAAGTGTGTTTGACTTGCAACGCACCCTTGACCTTGCTTTGAACATCATCAAAAATGAATGATTGAATCATAAAGTTCATTCTCTCATTCATTCATTCATTCAATCATACATATATATTAACAAAAGAAAGAAAGAAAGAAAGAAAGAAAGATGAGTCAGTGGTTAGGTGGCTTATTAGGAAGAGCAGCATCTACTTTGGAACAGACTGCTACGGGTGGTCAGAGAGGTGTTGGTGGAAAACAACATGATCCAGAGGCTTCGGTTGAATCATTGCTTGAGAGGTTGTCACTGGATAGTGTATCAATGGATGATAAGAAGTCTGCTATACAACAATTATCATCATTGGGCAAGAATGCCTATCAACAAGTTGGCTCAAAGATACCCATCATCACAAAGTTAATGGATCAAGTCAGAGGTGAAGACATTGAATTGATACGCGAGGCAATTGAACTTATCACCTCAATAATAAGGTGTACACCAGTATGTGATTGATTGATTGATTGATTGATCGATGGACTTGCTCACTCACTCTTTCATTCATTCGTTCAATCAAACATGTAGAAAGATGATAACATTATTCAAATGCATAATACAGAGTTGTTCATCAATGATAAGAAGAACTTCATGGTGATATGTGATCTGTTATCATTGTCGGATTATTACGTTCGATATTTGGTGGCAACGTTGATTAGGACATTGTTGACTAATCGTTTCGAGAGTGTACAGGAGACTATATTGGCATGTCCAATGTCAATGACCAATATAATGGGCCTTCTCTCAGACGGTCGCGAGATCATCAGGAATGAAGCATTGTTGGTACTCACCGAGCTCACAAAGTCCAATCAAGAGATCCAAAAGATCGTCGCATTCGAGGGTGCCTTTGACGTCCTTCTAGAGATCATCCGCAAGGAAGGACAATCCGAGGGCGGCATCATCGTCAACGATTGTATCATAGTCCTACTCAATCTCTTGAAAGGAAACGTCTCCAATCAGGTAAGTCATAACATGGACAAATGGCGACTCATGAATGCCTAGCTTGCTGACCTGACATCATGCACACAGAACTTCTTCAGGGAGATGGGATGCATACCAAAGATATCACCTTTGCTACAGGTACAGAACACAGATATGTGGATACTCTCGGATAACAAGTTCGCAATCATCATGTCGACATTGGACCTCGTGTTGTCATTGGTCGAGAGGAACAACTTGAGCACGCCACCCAATCAACATTTGATCAGTCAGTGCAACATGATGAACTTGATCATCCGACTGGGTCTTGGCAAGATGTCATCGCAGATCGTCCGCAGCAAGGCGCTCTACACACTGGGCGAGATCATCCATCAGCACACGGAGAACATTGCCGAGTTCTCGTCCGTGTCGATCAAGAGCGAGTTGACGGGCCAGTCGCAATCGGCCCTTCTCCGTCTGGCGATGGTCATCATCAACTCAAAGGACTTGATCGAGAAACAGGCATCCACTCACGTGTTTAGATGCTACCTGTCGAGCAATGAGGAGGCCCAGATGGGTCTGGCCTCAACCATCACTCCCCCAATGCACTCACCGGCACCAGCGGGCAGCGTCAACAGCGCCGCTCAAGATGAGGAACTATCGATTGGACAACACCTGGTCCGTGCAATGTTCTCCTGGGACGGCCCAAATGCTGCGCGATTCGACATTGCCAGCTTCTGGTACTCATGTATTGTGCTGTCGGCCACACTCAAGGACTCGACACACACCAAGGATCAGCTGTTGGGTGCCTGCGTCGAGATGCCCAAGACTGCATCCGAGCCACCCCTCACACTGTTCAACAAACTGATGTCATCACTGCTCTCCACCAAGAAGACAGAGACCGACCCAATGATCAAGATCGGTCTGCTCAAGTTGTTGGCGCTCTGGCTGGACCAGTCGCCCAAGGCTGTCAAGGAGTTCTTTAGCAACGGCTCACATCTCTCGCTCATTGTCGAGTCAATCCTTCAGCCGACTACAGCGGCGACCGCTGCAATGCAGGTCCATGTCCAGGGTCTGTACACCCTGATTCTCGGACTGCTGGTACATAACCTCGACGAGTCAAGTGTGGCCGAGCGTAACAATCTCAACTCAATCATCAGTCATCGAATTGGATTGAACAGCTTCAAAGACCGACTGGACCATCTTCGCAAGTCCGATTCATTCACTCATGCCGAACAAGGTGAAGAGCCATTCTCCACCGCCCTGGACAAGATCACCATCCAGCTCTACGACTTTGACTTTACCCTCTTCTTCAAGGATGTCTATGGTATTTTGTCTACTGACCTTTGGAACTTTTCCAATCACTCACTGACCCATCAATCATTCGTTCATTCAATCCACAGATAAAATCAGACACCTGGGCAGCTCTCATAAGCCTAGACCAGGAACACGTCCATCATCAGCACAGCAACAGACTCATCCAACGGTATCAGCATTGACTCCCAATCAATCACCACCAACTGGATCACCAATAGTCCCACATGTCAACAAGGAACAGCAACAACAGTTGGAGCAGTATGTATAGCGCCACCTTCAAACATGTTACTTGACTGACAAACTGATGTCCAACCTACACTTAGGGAGAATGCCAAGCTCAAGAAGAAGATTGAAGAGATGGAGTTATTACACAAGCAACAACAACAACAGCAGCAGCAGCAACATCAACAACAACTACAACAGGATCAACATATTGGTACACCTGTGAATCAATCACCTCCACTTACACATCAGGAAACACCTCAACCAATTCCAATCCAACCACTTCAACCACCTCAACAACAACCTTCACAAGACTCTCAACTTGTTATCCAACTCCAACAACTATTGGAGGATAAGGAGAAGGAGAACAACATCATTTCGGAAGCAATGACCAAGCTTGAGGACCTGGTCGTCGACAAGGACGACGCAATCGACGACTTGAAGGCACAGATCGAATCACTCAAGGTTCAATTGGCCAACCCATCATCTGCCCCGTCTCAACCTAGTGCCAACAACAACTCACTGACCGACTCTCAATCTGTTGATGTGTTTGAGTTGATGCGCCTTAGACAAGAGAGCCAGGAGCACTCGGCCACGATGGAGCAACACGAACAACAATTGAAGCAACACGAGCAGCAATTGAAGCAGAAGGACACCACGATCAATTCCCTGCGAATGGAGCTACAGAACACGATACAGCAGAAGGATGCCGCACTCAAGTCTGCTGCCGCCGCCACCGCCGCCAAGAACGAGGCGACAGTCTCGCCACCTGGCAACAGTCTAATGTTGGCCAAAGTGCAGAGCGAGTTGGCCGAGTTGAAGACCAAGTACGCAGCACTCCAGAAGGACCAAGAGGAGATGTTAGACTGGGCGTCCAAGCTCGAGGTTGAGAACAGCAATCTAAAAGCCAAGTTAGAGTCCAACTAAACGAAGAATAACATATCATATCCATCCTTGCATCATTCATTCCTTCATTCCTTCATTCGTTCGTTGTTCCTTGTTATGTACACACTGTGGACAGACCCAGACAACTGAGGCTGGGTCCATCATTTATTCTCAGCGGCATAGAGTGCCGGATCGATCTTATACATGTTACCATACTGAATGGATGGTGTTTGCTTCTCATCTACTTCCACTACACATACTGACATTGCTGTTTTTGTTACCGCGAGTGGAGGGAGTGTTAGCATCAATCACATCAATCAATCACATTCAATCAATCAAACATCGATACATTACTGTTTTCATCTATGATTCTATATGTTACCAAGACGGTTGAGAGAGGTTGGAAGAAGTTGAGTACGGCTGTGTTGGTGGCGGGCAGGTATTTGCCATGACATATGGTGCCAATGTATGTCCACTCTAGATATGTCTCTATGTTCTTGGGCGCTGAAAGAAACTTCATTGAGTAACCGAATCGCATCTCACTCTTTGATAGACTCTTGCCAAAGCTCCACTTTAAATGTCTGGCATTTGTATCTGTATCATACTTTGGGAACTCTTCAATCTATTATTGTTTGTTGTTGTTGTTGTTGTTGTTGTTGTTGTTGTTGTTGTTGTTGTTGTCGCAGTTGTGTCACATATCGGGGTTAGTCAATCACATGACATGCATGCATGATCGATCATGTTCATCAATCGTACCATTACAACTGTGTTGCTTGTCCTAATGTGAGGAAACAGTCCGCCAAACTCCTTCCATTCGAGGTTCCTCTTCCATGTTCCAATGAGATAACTATAGAAGTCATTATCTGGTATTTGATACTAATGAATGATGATGCATGTTAGATGATGTGTTGCTGTCGATTGAACGATGAATGAAGGTGGTCAAGGTAATTGCTGTACCTTTAAAGGCTTTGGTATTGAGTCTTGAGATCCATCATTGGTCGTTCCGTTGTGTACAGGTGATCTTGTCATTGTGCCACCATTTGAACTACCAGCGTTAAGCACTGGTGTTATACTGATCTTTCTCCAATTGTCCATCACTTGATATCTATATATAGAGATAATCGAGATAGATAATATGAGTGAGTGAATGAATGAATGAGTTTTGAGTAGAAAGAATCACATCCTCACCCTAAGTGGTCGATTCTTTGATGGATTGTTGCTTTTGGGGAATAGGAATTGGGATTGATTGTCGTTTCCCCCTCCTCATTTTCATTCTTGTATGACTCACTCATCATTCAAACAATATCATTGATTATTGGTCAGTTAGATCATAGACACAATTATTCATCAGATCAGATAATATTCATTGCTCATTGTTGTAGTATTAGTTCCTGTTCAATTTGGATGACTTGACCTGGAACATCCTGCTGTGTGAATAATCGAAGAGTCATCAGGCCCATCCATTGAAACAACCAACATAACAATGAATGATGCTTATTTCCTCCATGCCTCAACTCGATTCAAATGTCAATTATGTCTCTCGACTTTGCAAAGGGCTTTGACTACTGCGGTAGGGATGAGTATGATTCAGAGAAGGAAGATCAGGTTGGATTCCTCGAATCAATGCTGGAATACCTAAAGAGTGCAGACACTCTGCGAACCTTTCGTTTTAACCAGCCTCTCCCAAAGAAGATTCTGAGGTTCCTTCTCCAGTCGACCCAGAGCACAATCATCAACTTTTCATTCTGTCCTCGGGAGTTATCCTACATCCCGCCAGTCACGAAACACCTCTCAAAGTTTACGTTTATGAAGTGTTCGTCGCCAGGCTTTGACGACGAAGACAGAGCGACCGAGGAGTTCTATAGGTCACTCAACAATGTCGACCACATCAAGACTGACATATTGGCATGCGTACCATTGATTGGCTACAACAACAAGTCGACTTCCATTTCAATGCCATCTATATCTAGAGCTACAGACGATATCCAATATCTTTGGAGCCAGGTACTGGTTATGTCCATGAAATATTATTCATTGCTCATCATTCTCAAAAGTATGATTCCATTTCAAATGCTGGTCATCCCATTCGCCAAACATCCTGCACTGTGTGTGAGAGTGTGAATGGTGGTGGATGGGGGGTGATTGGTGATTGATCGAAGAGTCGTTCACACATACACACACCACTCATCACATCACTTCACACAAGGTCCAGACCACGCACTCCCTCCAGGCCTTTGCCTCCCCCTCACCCATCCATTGATAGAACAAACACAACAACACACTGTTGTTGATGATGATTAAAACTTGTCATCTTTAAATTAATACTATTATCTCCCTCGCTCCACCATCCTCCTCCAATCAATCTATTCAACAGCAATCCAGCATCACAGTCAAACAATCAAACAATCAAACAATCAAACAATCAAACAAAACCAACACAACAACAACAATAACAATAACAGTACAAAGACAGCCTCCATCCCCTCCCCTCCCTTCTTGGCCACCTGACATACATACAGACGGACTGACTCACTGATCTGCTTTATTGATTGTTTGATCATTTCATTATCTCGTCGTGGATCAACAACCAACAAACAAATCATCATCATCAGCAGGCATACACCAGACTACTCTCAACAGCAACGGCTGCATGCTCCACTCATATCTCTCGTAAACATACTCTCTACACACCACA